GTTGCTGTTTGCGAATATCTTGCAGTGGCTGAGTATTGCTGATACAATAGAGCTCATGACTAGGAAATAAACGCTACTTGTTAAACAATATTTTAAGAAGAGATTTATGTTGGATTTCAAATTTGTTCACAAGATGCTGACTAGACTACACCAAAACTGACATGCATACTGGAAAATAGGTAATAGATACGAGCGATAAAACATAGACCTTTTGACACACCTTTTGACCTTTTGACGCCCATCGCCGGAGGCGATGATAGCAATGCTACGGCAGAAATCATAGCAACTTGTGCTGGGATTGCGCCATTCAACAGCTTGCAAGGCTGAAGAATTAACCATCACTATTCAGCCTGGTCTACACCATACAGCTATTCGAAGTGACTTTTCCTGGTCAGTGAATCCCTATTTTTGGTCTTTTCATTTTTTTGTTCCCGCACACACATCACACCACATACTCCGGCATGCACTGGCTGTTGGTAGCCACCCAGGAGAATGAAAGGAAAGTCAGGAAGAGTCTGAAAAAGAGAAGAAAGACGTGTGTGACCATAATCGTCGGGAATCGAACCCGCAACCTATCGATTGGAAATCGCTGCACATACCACTGCACCATATGGGACACACACACACACACACACACACACACACACACACACACACACACACACACACACACACACACACACACACACACTCTCTCTCTCTCGCTCTCTCTCTCTCTCTCTTCTTCCCCAAATCCAAAAATGTCAAGGCACCTCAGTCGAAGAAAAGATTGGACGCAGTTCAGTTCCGATCTTCAGGCCTTCAGCATTAACAGTTTTACATGCAACATGAGTGATTGCGACTCGATGGTGGAAGAATGGTAGGCGAAGGCAGTCCTCGACCTCTATGCCCCGGAGACACTTTGCAAACGGCGGCGACTCCCTTGCCCTTGGCTGCCTCCAGAACTCCAGCAGGCAGTTCGAAACAGGTTCCATCAAAGTCTGAAGCGTAATCCGGGTGATGCTGAGCTTGGCAAGAAACATCGAGATCAACGCTCCATTTGTCGTCGCTTGGATCGGAAGCTAAGAAACCAGTACTTTCGCGATCAATGTGGATTACACGCGGCTGATACCAGAGGCTTGTGGCGCACACTGAATACAGTAACCGGTCGCCGTGTTATTCATCATGCGCCCATCATCCCTGTTTAGGATCTGCAAGATTCGTTTTAAAAACGGTTTTCGAGCGTTCTCTGCAATCCTCAACGACCTTCAAACTTGAACTCACATGCCACCACACCGGTACACGAGTCCCACTTTGCCCGCTTCACGCCCCTATCCGTCCACTCTGTTGAGCGGATGCTTTCTTGGGTCGACCAGCACAAGGCAACTGGTTATGACGACATACCAAACCTGGTCCTGAAGAAGTACTCGTCCATGCTTGCACCGTCATTGATCCGCATCTTCAATGTTTCCTTTCAGACTGCTAAAGTCCCAGTAAGCAGGCCAATGTCACGCCACTATTCAAAGGCAGTGATCCTGAACTACCGACCAACTATCGGCGACAGTATGCGAACTGAGTTTCCGGAAGAATATTCTCGGACCCGAAGTATCGAACAACTTCACGGTGGATTGCATGTTCTAGGAGGCGTGATACACTAGGAAGGAGACTTATTGGTCATCGTTCGACGGAGGATGCGCTGACACTGGCCGTACATCGATGGAATACAGCCAGGGCCCGGAAGCAGTCCACTGGTATTGTGTTTGTCGATATGTCAAAAGCGTTTGATAAGGTTCGCCACCAAACGCTGCTAGATGATCTTCACGGAAAGGGTGTACGTGGCACTGCTCTGGCCTGGTTTGCCAGCTATTTGTCGGGTCGGAAACAACGCGTTGACCTTATTCAGGCCAATGTTCCCAAAATTACGGGAACACATCTTTCCCCATGCGATTTGGTCAAGGGAAATTCATTTTCCTCCGCACTTTCTGTTTATATACATATGATGATCAAGGATCTTGGAATATTTGTCAGGATTTTTGAAATTTTCAAGTATCGGAATATAACGCGAAATGTCATGAATTTTCGGTACTCGAGCGTACTTCAGAAATTGAGATTACTGGTGTGAAAACAGTCTTTATCAGACTAATCTACACGTAAGAAGTGCACTCTGCTACTATGGCCACCCAACTGGCCTGAATATTCACCGAAAATTTGGTCATGGCACATAGAAACCCGACGTCTTTCTTCGATGGGAACGTTGGCCTGATCCGACACCCAGATATACCTCATTTTCACCAGATTTCAGGAACCAGTATATCTAGCGCATATGCCTTGTTTGTAACATCCGTATAAACGTGGATATATAACTGATGGAGCCTTTTTGATGTTTTGATGGTGATTGGACCGTCTTCATGGTAACCAAATTTGGTATTATATTTTGTGATTCACTAGCATGCGGAATACAGCAATGTTTTGCGAGGCTGACATTTGCCAAAGTAAAGATTGCTAAACAGTCTCCAAAGGGATAATAATACTTCTGAAGTAGGTTTTCTTTTCTGTAACAAGATTCACTTGAACAATATTCAACAAAGTATGGATTCTTTATGCCGTTCTCCTGGACTTTCGATGATTGTTTCCTCCGTGCGGTTGCATTTTTGTCAGAAAAATATTGCTTTACCTGTAATTCGGTAAGGCAGAGGGAAAGGTTTACAGTAGCAGAGTCCTTTCTGGAAGGGGACTCAAAAGTGATTCCAGTGGAAGCTAAGGACATTTTTGAGAACTCCAACACACTTCAGGACCTTTTCATAGATCTGTAAAACGTCTCGACAGTGTATAAGCGCTGCGGAGAAATCGGAAGTTTCTCTCTCTGCAGTCGAAGCGAATGGCCTACGCGTCCATGGTAGGCCTTGGCGGATAGTGCTCGAAAAGCAGTGAAATTGGCAGAACCATACAAACCTTATGGCGGGCAATTCCTCGAATTCTGCTCCATTTCTTTATCCACATACCAAACATGCATAAAATTACCAGAAAATGTACTTAATTCTGCCAATTTTTCTGCCGGCATTATCCGCCAAGGCCTAGTCCATGGTAGAATCCAGGATCCGCTACGGGTGCTCAGCTTTCTTTAGCTCTCTCTCCAAGGCTGAAGCGGGATTCACAGAAGCTTTTTGTGATGCGACATGCGATGCGACTGCCGCGAAACCGGGAAATCGCCAAATCGCAGCCATCTCGCACCCCACGCAACTGCCGCAACTGGGCCATCGCAGAAGTTGAGCTTGGCTCAACTTTTGCGATGCGACAAGCAATTTGGCGTACGATTTTGACCTTTTCTACAGCAAAGTTGTACAAAGCTTCAAGAGTTGCCTATAAATTTGTGCAAGTTGTGCCAAACAGCGCGAATATCATGGTGACGTACCCAAATCAGCAAGACGTTGTCGCATCGTGACTTCTTCTGTCAATGGTACTTCGCGAGTTCGCATTGGACGCATCTGTCGCAGATAACGTCGCATCTCGTGTCGTATCGCAAAATATATCTTCTGTGAATCTGCTTCACGATACTTCAACGCCTATGCAACCTAGCCCTGCGAGCCGTGTACAACCTGAGCTCCCGTACCCGTATGACTCCCGTGTATGCGGAACATAACCTGCTTCGTGTACACCAGCTCTTGCGTGAGACAATGTGCTCGCTGGTCTACCGGTACCTACATTTCACCATGGAGCAGCCGCTGATCAGCGCATTACGTTATATCCACTATTTACTGTATTTGGACATTTTGTCACTCCGACTAGGGCTGGCCAAACGCGCGGCTCCCAACAACATCTGCTGCAGCTTCCAGCCAGAACTCATCCCGTGTCTCTTTCTGCTGCACGCGTTTGGAACGGTCTTCGACCTGATGCGAGAAACATCACGTCCCCCCTCCAGTTCAAGGGTGTGTTGCACGCGTATTGTCTTACTGTAGCGTGAACTGCAACCCCCCCCCCCCCTCCCTTGTCTTGAGTACTAGTATGTAGTAGTCTTGATGTTCTGATACATGCCGAGTCTAGCTGTATGCTCAGTCTCCGGCTAGCTGTATGCTCAGCCTATACATTCTTGATCTTATCTTTTCTTTCTTTTCTCTTTTTCTTTTTTTAAATGTTTTACTGCCAGAAGTCTTCATATAAGGAGGCATATGTGCCTGTTTGTTGTACGACTTTACATAAATCCAACCAACCAACACACACGCACGCACGCACACACACACACACACACTTGTACTTGTTCTTGTACTTGTTGCACACTGCCAAAACCGGTCACGTGGGTCTCCCCGGGAGAGGGGAGAGAGACTCAAAAGGAATCTTGGAAAGATGACTCAATTGGCTATTGAACCGCCCAACGGCCGACACCCCCTGAAATCCCCAAAACTCTGGGTGGACTTGAAAATGATCCCACTTATGGGCTCACCACACCTCAGTAAGTGGGTGAGGACAAGGTGCAGAAAAAGGATTGACGGCATCAGGGTATCCGTCCTGGGATCCAACTGCAGTTACCCCTGCCCCCAGTGAAGGTAATACGTGCTACTAGTGTGGGTGGCTAAATCAGAGTGGATCTGATATTAGCTTCACTAGCACCATTGATTACACAAGAGTTAATCTAGCCAGAAGCAGTCCATGGTTAACAGGTATGTATACTTCAAATAGAAAGTATATGAACCCTGGAACCAACAAAGGTGGCAGGTACAACATTACACCTTCATGTAGCCGAGCCCGTTGGCAACAGACCCAACACAATCAGGCATAAGTGTACCCACCAACCGAACTAGCTGGCACACACACACACACACACACACACACACACACACACACACACACACACACAGAGCACGCATGCACACACAAACACACACACACGCAAACACACACACAAACACACGCACACACACACACACACACACACACACACACACACACACACACACACACACACACACACACACACACACATACACACACACCTCAGAACGTGATAATCAGAACTTTCGGGACGCATTTTTTTGGGAACTATAGGCAAGTTGATTGAACGCCAAAGGCAGATAACTGTCGTGAATTATCAGCGAGGCCACGGATACGTACGTTGACGATCCCCTGATGTACCCACAAAAATGAGCCTCTCATCAAGATGCTAGGCCATATTCACCTGACCTACACCAAGAAAAATTTGGAAAATAAGCATATGAGGAAAGGGGCACTTGTCATTCTCGTTACCATAGTAAACATGACATTCTCGTTACCATAGTAAACATGACATTCTCGTTACCATAGTAAACATGACATACCCAGAAGAGAGCCCTGGTTACGTGTCAGAGTGCTCCATGCAAGATTCGCAGAGCTTCAAAGACGGAAGAAATCCAGCAAAACAAAATTAAATGACACAATTATAACTGCTATCTCTGAAAACATGGAAAGCAGTGCATAAATATTATCTATTTCTGTTTCACTGGATTTTAGTTTGTAAACAGAACACAAAGAGGAGACAAAGATGAAAAAGAAGCAAGAGAAAAGAAGGAAAGTTTGGGAATGAATAAGATGAGCCTTGTCATACCTAGACGAGCTGCCATTGTGAGATGAAGAAATGGGTGCCTTTGGAGCTAAGTCGACAGTTCTGTTTGGTGATCTTGGAGGACTTGTCAGCTCTGCAGTGAATGCATTTGTTCGACCTCGTACACAGGGCAACACGGCCATCAGATAACACTGTTTGGCCATCTTTGGTAGCGAGATTAGAGCTGGTTGGTCGACGTACAATGAATTGTGTGCCAAGACAACCCTGGTCACCATTAGTGCATGCTTGCATGACGCAGGCTGAGTGACGACCGATACACAGAAGAGCACTTGGCTGACCTTGAGCCGTTACAATTCTTACCATGTCGTCGTACCGGAGAAGACCGTCGTCTGGCATCGTGTCCTTCACTGGAACGAATCGGAAAACGCCCGCGTCGCACATCTTTGAGGAGTGTGTGTTGCTGGCTGCAGAGGTAATGCTGTAGGAGGCCTCCTTCAGGCACTCGCCTCGGCCACAGGCGGAGTTGGTGCAGCGCAAATAGGAGCGTCCATCCAGACCATGACGGACTCCGGCGCGCAGCGAGATTGTGCGTTTGTACTGCACTTCTGAGCCGGACGTCTCGCTGCGCCACTGTCGGATTTTCATCGGGACAATCCCTTTTTCGCTGTTCATGTAGCGCGTGCAGTTTTGCGGCCCTCCATCGCACATGCGTGCCGAGCAGGCAGCACTATCGATGTTGAGTGAGCCCTTGCACCAGAAGCACCAGGTGTGCGACTGATTTTTGAAACAGAGTGCGATTTCAGTTGCCTCCGTAATCAGCTCTCGACCGCCCGAGTTGGCGGCGTTCAAAGCGTGCACGGTCAGAGGAGTTCCCTCCGTATGTTCCTCGGGTCTGCACGAAAAGAACACCATCTGGAAGCTATGACACTTGAGTGGAATGGGCTCCTGGGATCTGCTATTTACGGGAGGTCTCACCATCAGGTACACCTGGTCTCCACTGCGCAGAACCTCTTCAGTGTTGCGGATCGCACTGCCGCCACGTTTCAGGTAGAATTCCGACGCTCTGCAATTTCGATACGAGGTTTCAGTTGGATGCGACAATCGTGGGCACTGTTGCCATGCACAGAGGCCATTCCAATTGTCCTCGCAACGCAGCCAGTCGCTGTCCGGCAGAGAGATGGAGATGCGCTGTTCAAACTGGACATAGCGCTGAGCTGGCGATGCGCTACTTGCCGAGGTGCATTGGTCCCGGTACAATCCGTTGAGCGTGTTGATTTCGATCTGGTTCATTCCTGTGCCGTGGCCGATAGTGAGACCGGCGACATGCAGCAAGCCGAGAACCAGATGACCCAGGTCATTCCTGCAATGCGATCCAACTTTCATGTGACTCTCTCCATGCAGCATGCCCACAGGTGCTTGGCAACCGCGCCTGTCAGGACAAAAACGTGCAAGGCAAAAGATGAAGAAGAGTATTGGTTAGTCGAACGTGTCAGAAAAGTGAGAAGCCGGAAGTCGCAGTTGTGCGCTTGAGGATTTAAAAAAAATTCAATTGGAAAATCAAGTACTGGAAGTAATGTTTTCTTTGAGGCAAGGCCGCCGCTTTGCAGAACATGAAACTGCATGATAGCATTTTGACATGTTCAGAGAGTTTTCTCACGATGGCTGAATGCTGGTAGCTTAGCAAAAAGTCATGTTGCGGTGTTCTGTGTGTACTTCCGTGCCGCGAGGTTGCATTCTGCTAGAGCATGGCCGTTGAATACTTCCCCGTATGATTGTGAGTGGGTAACCTTTTTGTTTTGAAGACCAATAGTGGCACCTGGACAAATGTACTTGCAGATTGTCGTGGTACGGGTCTATCCCAATAGTCAGGATGTAACCTCGCTGCTACTGGCTCTTGAAGAAAGCCTAAGTAATGGCCATCAATGGACACGCTGAATTGTATTGCATTATTTCACTGCTGTTGTTCTTAGTGTTAATTCTTTAACTTAGATTTTCTAAAATAGTTCAATTTTGTTTCAGTGTCCTTCAGTACAACAACGAATCCTGGTGAGTGTTGTACGAAAACTTGTTTGAATCCTAATTTTTCTCTACACTATTTCTTCTAGGGGTGAAAGGGGTGATCCGGGTACCCGGGTACGCGTCTGTTTAGCTGCTGATCCGTTAGCAAACGAGTACCCGTTAGTCGTGTATGACGGTATGGTGCGGTATTGTTAGCTGGATTGGACTGTCGCACAGTTCGAGGTACAGTTTGATCGGGTTGTTGGTTGTTTGATCCTGCTTCTCATGACAATTTTGACTGTTTTGCATGTAGCGCAGTAAGTGCGCATGCTGCGCTTGTCTCAATGTAGTGTACTTGCTGTGAATAGCATGACTTCGCATATCCTCCTCGCACGAAATGCGGAAAGCTACTGTATAGTAATTGTTACTATTGGCTGCTAAAGGGTACCCGGTAACGCGCCCGTTTATTTATTTATTGCATCATCATCTCGTGGCAAGCAATGCCAATATTGAATGAGGGAGGGGTGATAGCCAACCACGGCCAAATCAACAAAAGAAAAGTAGTAGACTGTGACATGTATAAGAAAGAAGAAAGAAAGAAGAAAATTCAAAAGAAAGACTGTTAATCCAGGTACCTGTTTGTAACCTTGAAGGATAACCGTTTCATCCCCAATTTCTTCCTATTTTCATCGTTTTTCTTCACATTGTCTCCACTGTTTTACATTGCATGACTAAGTATACACAAATGTCGATTTAGCGTGTCTTATTGATCGCGGTTATCAATTTATTGTCTCCTCGCCGTTTGTTCATTTTTTTGTATTTATGGATTCTCACAGCGCTGGTTCTTATTCTGTGTGTGTGTGTGTGTCTGCTTGTGTGTATGTGCTTGTGTGTTTTGTGTGTGTGTGTGTGTGTGTGTGTGTGTGTGTGTATGTGTGTGTGTGTGCATGTGTGTGTGTTTGTGTGTGTGTTCATGTGTGTGCATGTGTGTATGTGTATGTGTGTGTGTGTGTGTGTGTGTGTTTGTGTGTGTGTGTGTGTGTGTGTGTGTGTGTGTGTGTGTGTGTGTGTGTGTGTGTGTGTATGTGTGCATCTAGTGTGTGCTTTATCAAAGCAGTGTGCTGTCCATATTGGTTACCCAGCAAGTGTAGGATATGCATAGGTAACTGTCTTGGCCGTCCTATTCTGATGTGCTCTGTGTGGTGTAGACCAGGTGTGCATTGGGGGTCGATTCACATGGCTTCGCCAGTTGCGTAAGGTAGACAGTTATCTGGCGCTTGTCTTCATCTGTTTCAATCAGAATCAGATCTGCTATCATTGCTTTATAATGTAAAGAGAAAATCGTTGGGTGTACATCCAGTGCATATGCAGATTTGGGTGCTTCTCTTGCGACGGTCGCATACATAGTATATGGTGTGTGTATGTGTGTGTGTTTAGGTATGTATATGTATGATTGCATGTGTGTTTGTGCTTGTGTGTGTGTTTGTGTGTGCGTATGTGTTTGTGTGTGCGTGTGTGTTTGTGTCTGTGCGTGTGTGTGTGTTTTTTTTGTGGCGTAGGGTTGTCATCACGTGACATGCCTTGCCCTGCCCGCTATCCCGTACATTTCCCGTCCCGTACCGAAAAAAGAAAACTGGTCAGGTATTCAAAGAGTACTTCGAAGACAGGAGCAGAATATCAATCAACTCGGTAGAATGTGTATGAATGCGAAATGTATCGAGGGAATGCAAGCAAAGCGATAGTGCCGATTCGAATCAATGATATGTACGGTTGTAGGATTCCCTTGGTAAAACTCAGACCATAGTGTTTTTTTACAATTTGGTTGAATATACCTGTGTCCGTAGATTAGAATAATTATTAGTTCATGTTTTATTCTAGACCCAAGGTCAAGTTCACATGCATTCATGCAATTAACGCATCCAGTATAGAAGACACTTTAGATCAGATATCAAACGTTTTCGTTACTTTCTCTTCAGGATTACACATGGATTGACTGGAATGCGAAAATGTCTGCTGTGAAGTGTCTTCTGGACAGTTGGCGTTTAATGCGTGGACGCATTCAAACTTGACTTTGAGCACGAATAATTCTTTATTTTCCACCTACGTTCTCCGTTACGATACGTAACGTGCTTTTTTGTTTTGTTAAAAGGAACGAGAGGGCCCAAGAGCCCAAAGCCCTCGCTATGCTTTGTTCATGGTCACACTGTAAGAAGTCATGCGTGTTATTCGAACTGACAGAAACGTCCTTGGGCCTTGAGTGACAAGTTTACGTTTTTATCAGTTCGAAAAGCACACATGATGACCTACATAAAAACAAATCAGTGGCGTGTCCAGTATTCGGCTGAGGGGGTGGGGTGGGGGGGGGGGGGGGTCGGTGCCGGGATGAGTAGGGAGTAGATCACATCATGCTACAGCCTACTGTCCCAGGTCAGCCATTTTGAAAACCGATGTCAAGGAGCCGTAAATCTCACACATCACGAGCAGTATTTCTTTACACGCAGCAACACTGTACAATACGTAGTACATCGTAAAGTTCAAATTTGCCGCTATGTGACGGTGAGCGAAGCAACTGCAATTTATGCGAGTCCAACAATTTCTCACCGCTCAAAGCATCCTTTACATAGGCAGCGGTACTATGTTCACTTGTCACTGTGCGCTTGTCTTCATGTTCTGGCCGCTCGCTGACAACAGGTGCTTCCACGTCTGGCGGAGTGTGACTGTCAGTCTGCTCCGAAAGTGCAACTGGAATAACAGCGACTTCATAAACTCCCACTGTTTCCTGTTGGAGCGGCAGCAGGAGTTGCGCCGCAACAGGAACGCTTTTCAAAAAAATCCATCCAGGCTCCGCTGGCTAGAGCTTGGCCTTTTTGGGATGTCGCTGAGGCATCGAAGAAAAGTCTTCGAGTCAACCAAAACACGATTCGAACGAGGATGATCGCCTGAGCCTTCGGCATTCGAATCGTGTTTTGGTTGACTCGAAGACTTTTCTTCGATGTTTGTACGTTGAAGACGCATCGAGTGCGTCCCCGCACGCAGGGATCACACTGTGCGACACTCAACAGTACGAGTGTTCACAGTCAGGTCACCGTGTTTCTGTAACCATGCATGCTCACTGTACTCTGTAGATTGTACAATCAACACCAGCTCGAGCACAGTACAGTGCAACCGCTTTTGGACGACCGTTTCAGGACGCACGCGCGCCCTGAGCCTAGCGCTAGCTACCATAATACATGTAGCTAGCCCTGCCCTTTATTTTTGGAAACCAGGTCGAAACTTTTGAGGGGCGGGGGGGGGGGGGGGGGAGCGCCCCCGCCCCCCCCCCCCTAAACCCGCCACTGCAAAGCATGTTCTGTCTTCTTTCTTTTTCCTTCTCCTACCACGACTGGCTAACACCCCCTCCTTTGCATTGGCTTTTGCCATTGGATGGTGAAATAAAAAAGAAAAAA